AGTCATTTTATGCAGACAGTGCTTTGGAGGCCTAAAAGGAGGACGGGCTAGCTCTGCTTGGAGGAATCCAGGAAAGCTTTCCAGAAGAGGTGACTTCTCAGCTGAGTCTTGAAGCATGAGTATGAAAGAATTGTCCAAGAAATGGAGGGGAACGAAAGGATAGTTATAAGAAGGGGCAGGGTACAGGTAGATAAATCCATGCAAGATAGAGAATGTGATGACACATTCTTGTGGGGCCAGAGCACAGGATACAGGACAGGGAAGGGCCAGTAAGAAAGCTGGAAATGTAGCCTGAGCAAAATGGTGAAACTCTGTCTCTACAAAACAGAAAAAAAATAAAAAAAGCTGGGCATGGTGGCACGTGCCTGTAGTCCCAGCTACTCGGAAGGCTGAGCTGGGAGGATCACTTGAGCCCAGGAAGGTGGAAGCTGTACTCTAGCCTAGGCGACAGAGCCAGTTTTAAAAATAAAATAAAATAAAATAAAATAAAAAGTTGGGGGGGGGGAGGCAGGCACGGTGGTTCACACCTATAATCCTAGCACTTTAGGGGGCTGAGGTGGGAGGATCACTTGAGCCTGGGAGTTCAAGATCCGCCAGGGCAACATGACAAAACGTCTCTACAAAAATCAGCCAGAAGGACATTGTCCAGATGATGTTGTCAAAGCCTCACTCTGATGGCTGTGTGGGGAATGGGCTGGATACAGGGAAAGACTAGAGGGCTGCAGGCCAACATCTTACCCTAACTAAGGGAGGGAGCTTCCTTCCTTTCTTCTTCTCTCCCTTCCCCTCCTTCCCCCCTCCCCCTCCACTCCCCTCCCCTCCCCTCTCCTCCTCTCCTCTCCTCTCTTCTCTCTTTCCTGAAACAGGGTCTTATGCTGTCACCCAGGCTGCAGTGCAGTGGTGTGATCACAGCTTACTTCAGCCTCTACCTCCCAGGCTCAAGCAATCCTTCTGCCTCAGCCTCCCAAATAGCTGGGACCACAGGTGTGCGCCACTATGCCTGGATAATTTTTATTTTGTTGTAGAGACAAAGTCTCACTATGTTGCCTCGGCTGATCTTGAACTCCTAGGCTCAAGCGATCCTCCTGCCTCGGCCTCCTAACAGATATGAGCCACTGTGCCCAGGTTTGGTTCTTCCCAGCACCATATTTGGAAATCAGGGTAGCTACCCAGCAGGCCATGAGAAGTGTCCTCAAAGCTGAGAGAGTAGACCTGGCTCAATCAGTTCTCTTGGATTAGAGGACAGAAGCATGGGAATGTATTCTTTGTTCTCTCTGCCCACCAGCAAATGTATCCTCCCCCTCCAAGTGTCACATCAGGGGAAACTCCTGACCTGGGAAAAACAAGTATACCATTACTGCATTCTATCTAAGCAAGCCTTTGCACACTGTTTATAAAACTGTAAACTCCTTTTGGCTTATACATCTTCCCTTCCTCTAGGACTGAACATTGTCAGGCACATAGGAGGTGTTCAATGAACATTTATCAATCTAAAACAAGGATACTTCCACAGGACCTTGGCAGTTGTACATTCACTGCTGACACTAAAAGAGACCCAGAGCACTGTGTTCTCTGACCACCACCACCACCAACAACAACAAAAAAATAGCATGGGATTTGGTCAGAGGTCTTAGGTTTCAGTCTTGGTTCAGCCACCCAAGAGCTCTGTGGCTGTGGACAAGCCACAGAATCTTGCTGAGACTTGGTTTGCTTATCAATTAAAAACAAACAAACAGAAAACAAACAAAATGTTCTAAGATACAAGGGTGCACCTGGAAGCACTGTGCAAACTTGTAAAGTGCTACATGACCAAAATGTGGTATATCTGTAAATGGAACATTATTCAGTCATAAAAAGGAATGAAGTACTGATACATGATACCAATATGGATGGACCTTGAAAACATGATGCTAAGTGAAAGAAGTCAGACATAAAAGCCCTGTATTGTATAATTCCATTTCTACAAAATGTCTGGAATAGGCAAATCCATAGAGACAAAGCAGATTAGTGGTTTGTAGGGACTGGAGGGAGAAGAGAAGGAACTTTGAGTGCTTAATGGGTATGTGGTCTCCTTTTGGAGTGATGAAAATGTTCTGTAACTAGTGGTGATGGCTGTACATTATGATTGTACTAAGTGCATTTCAAAATGGTTAAAATGGTACCAAATTGCCTAAGTGTGTGCTTTATACTAAAAAAAAAAAAAAAAAAAAAAAAAAAAAAAAAAAAAAAAAAAAAAAAAAAGGTTATATGAAGGTTAATCAGCCTGAGAAGTCATTGATTTTTACATTTAACATGCAGCCTCCAATTCATTTTTTGGCGTTGAGAGAACTTACAAGGAGTAGGTGCATCTCCACTAAGAAGCCTCTTCTGAAGATAGCAGGGATGGGAGTTGGAGAGGGAAGAAGGAATTCTGGCCCATCTGAAAAGCTTCCCTTCTGGATGGTATTTGTTTCGTAGATTGCCAGTTGTTCACCCTGTTTGTATTTAAATGAAAGGAGGCTTTGAAGTGGGAGCCGCCTCTGAGCAGGGCTTGGGGTTCCTGCCTCCCTTGGTAAAGTTCAGACTTGTCCAGATCTGTTTGTAGCCAGAGGTTACTGTTTCTGGTGGAAAAGGCTCAAGTTTGGGTTAATAATACATTATGAGGAAGAGCAAGAGTAAACCCGGTGGGGCGGGGGGGGGCTGCGGCAACAAATGAGTTCCTCCTAGTTGGTGTGAGAAGCAGCTTTCTGATTTGGCCTTCGTGGTTTAGGAGTATCACTTTCTCCCTTATGGTCACTGGCTTCCATTTTATAATAATGTTGGTTGTATCTCAGAGCATGTTCTCCTTGGTGAAGAACATCTTTAAGTAAATGTATCAATCAATGAAAATTAAAAGTGCTCAGCTAAGCCCTAGCAATGCCTTCAGGACTTGATGGTTACCAGTTTAAGGAAAGTCTTGAAAATGGCAGGAAATTCAATTGTAGTTGAATTTGCACATTAAAAAAAAAACTGCTCTCCTAGTTTCAGAGTTAAATGTTCTGCCAGCCCACAGAAATTGGAAGTCACAGTTATAGACGGGTCACAATCTATCTGTTTATGTTGATGGTCTGTTAACAAAATGTAGAACAGTTTGCAAGCGGGCATTCAAAATAACAGCTCCTCATAGCCAGCCATGTCAACGTGGTTTACAAACAACAGTGGAGAAAGTCTCAACAAACCCTCTGAGGGTGATAACTGTAATGATGGTTCGTATCTTTGCCCTATGTAATTTTATGGGAATTGAGAGTCTAGCCAAATAATAAGTTCCAGCCCTTTTTATCTGTCCAGTTCCCAGCACACTCCCGAGGTGTCTGAGGCACTTCTCACCCCAACCTTTTAAAGAAGATTGTAACAATAACAACGGTAATGACAAGTTCCCGAGCTGCACAGTTCCCTTCATTTAAGGAGCCCCGGGAGCTTCAAAAAACACTCATTAATGGAATCTGACAAAGCTTGCAAGATAGGAAGTCTCGCCCATTTCCAGTTTTCTGGTGGAAAAGTGGGGACTGAGTCCCAGAGGGGTGTCAGTCTCTCTCACGGGGCTTGAGTGGGTAGGGGGTTTGGGGGTCCTGGGCTACCATTATTCCATGAAATTCGAGTCAAGAGTCCCGGGTTCTGGACGCCCCCTACCCCGGCGTGCTATTACCAAGTCGCTTCCCATTTCTGGGCCCCAGTTCCCCTACCTAATAGAAGGAAGGGTTGGGCCAAATGGTCTCCAAGATCTCTGCGGTCAACCCTCACTTTGCCCCCTCATCTCGCGGTTGGGGATTTTTCCCGCTTCAGGGTTCGGTTAGACTTGTAGCAGAACCGGGTCGGGGTGGGAGTGGCGTCGAGGGGGTGGAGTGTTGCGAATGCGGGAAGGAGAATGCCTGACGGGGTCCTGGACAAATTGGTGTTTCACGAGCACCGTCCTATGGGAAGCAGGTCTGGGGAGACCAGGTGAGGCTCTAGGACGAGCTCAGAGCCCCAAATCCCCCCGCTGCCTGCAGCGAAACAATGTAAATAATGCGCCTTCCCCGCCCAGCCCGGGAGCTGCGCGCATAGGAGCCTCCGCGGGTGCGGGATGGCAGCGGGGAGGCGGATATCGTGGCGGAAGGGGCTCCGCGCGGCTTTTGCCCATAGGCGGCGGGTCAGGTGGCCGCGCGCAAGGCCTGCGGCTCCGACGTGGGCTTCGGGGACAAGTCCCAGGCCGTCCCGGTCCCCAGAACCTGGGCCCTTCAGCCCGGAGTAGTTGGCCTTCCCTTCGCGGCTGGGGGGCGGTGGGCTGGCTCCCCGCCTCCGAGGAGGAGGGGAGGAAGGAGGAGCCGGGTGGGGCGTGTCATGCGAAGGAGCGCCGGGCGCCCGGTGCGGCCCCCTAGGAAGTGGATTTGACCGCTCCGGATCCAACCCGGCTTCCAGGTTTTCTCCCGGCCCAGCCCAGCGTGCTCCCGCCTGTCTCCGGCCCCCCCGACGCCCGCCCCCTCCCCCCGAGTGCCGCCCGCTTGGCCAAGTTTGCGGAGCGTCGCCGCGCACGCCGGCCAGTCAATCAGCGGCAGAGCTGAGAAGGGCACAGCCGCGCGGCGGAGGGCAGAGTCAGCCGAGCCGAGTCCAGCCGGACAAGCGGACCAGCCCAGGGCAGCGCAAGCCGCGCGCAGCGAACGCCCGCCGCCGCCGACACCCTCCGCGGTCCCCGCGGCGCCTGCCACCCTTCCCTCCTTCTCCACGTCCCCGCCTCGCCGGCCAGCCAGCTTGCCGGGTTCGCTGCCCCGCGGAACCCCGAGGTCACCGGCCCTCGCCTCTGCTTCCCTGGGCCGCGCGCAGCCTCCACGCCCTCCTTCTCCTCCTTTTACCCTGGCCCGGCGCCTGGCACCGGGGACCGTTGCCTGACGCGAGGCCCAGCTCTACTTTTTGCCCCGCGCCTCCTCCGCCTGCTCGCTTGTTCCACCAACTCCAACTCCTTCTCCCTCTAGCTCCACTCGCTAGTCCCCGACTCCGCAAGCCCTCGGCCCGCTGCCGTAGCGCCGCTTCCCGTCCAGTCCCAAAGGTGGGAACGCGTCCGCCCCGGCCCGCACCATGGCACGGTTCGGCTTGCCCGCGCTTCTCTGCACCCTGGCAGTGCTCAACGCCTTGCTGCAGGCTGCCGAGCTCAAGTCGAAAAGTTGCTCGGAAGTGCGACGTCTTTACGTGTCCAAAGGCTTCAACAAGAACGATGCCCCCCTCCACGAGATCAACGGTAGGTGGGCACCCCCGGGAGGTGGGCGTAGAGACCGACACCTCGGAAAGGTGGCTGCAACCCCCTTCCCCCGCCCCGCCGCCCTCAGCGCCGGACGCAGGTACACTAGAGGGAGAAATGGTCAGTCGAGAGAGCAGGAGCGAGCGAGAGAGCCAGGCAGCCCGGGCGCAGGACGTTCCCCGCGGGCGCGGCGCTCCCCGCCTCCAGCACTGCCAGCGGAGGGGAGCCGCCGGGTTGCCCGGTGCCACTGTCGCGCTCCGCTCCCCACCCCCGCTCCCCCTCCCCCCCTGCATTATTCGCCGTCCGGGGAAGCCCCTGGGGATACTGGTCCTCAAAGTGCGTGTTACCGGCTCCCTCGCCTTTTCCGGGTTGAACTCCTTATAGGACGCCCCGCTTTGTTGTATGGGTGACCACGAGAGGTCGGGTGGGGGTGGAGGTCGCCAGTGGGGTGTGGTGGAGGGAAACCTTCTGGAGCTTGCTAGATTCTGGGGGTCGCAAAACGTGGAACTTGAGTTGATGTTTCATTGATGTTCTTTTAAAACTCTCTCCCCGCCTCTCTTGAACCGCTGACACGGATTAGGAATTTTAGTAGCCTCAACGGCTTTAGAAGTCGCCTTTAAAAAGCAAACGACTACCCCTACTCTCCACCCCTCCAAACCCTGACTTTTGGGAACTCTCCTACTTTCCGGAAGGTATCGGACCAGAGGAGTATTTTTCCCCTCTTTCTTTTTTCTTACCTCATTTTAAGGGTTAATTGCACTTTCAATTACAGACCTTTGAAAGGACTGATTACAGGAAACCTGAATCTCAGTTTGGAGATGGTTATGCAAATAGAGACGGCTTAGCCTGTGAAAAAGTTCACCGGATTTTGGCGCCGGTGGGGTGGGATGGGGGCGTGTATGGGGGTATTTGTGAAAGCCTCTCTCCGAGCGCTGGGGAGGCAGCGTTCGGCGGGTGCCCTGCGTCCTTCCCAGCGAGGCCGGCGGCGGTGTCCGGCCGGGTCCCCTCCGGGTCGCACTCTCTTCTTAGCAGCGGCCAACTGTTGCGCGCAGCTCCGCCGGCCGCGCAGGTAGCCCGTTCGCCCTGGGGGCTCAGAAAGCACCATGAATCTAGCTGGCTGGTGGCCAGCGTAATCTAACGGAGGAGTGAGAGATTCGAGCCCGGGGGGCCGAGCCTCCACTCCGAACCTTTCATGGAAGTGAGTGGAGCGCGCCTTTGCCTTGCCGTGCTGGTCTCCGGGTGGGGCGGGCAGCCAGCAAAGGAAATACTGTAATTTCAACCAGGCGCTTCCAAAGGCTTAGGAAGATTTGGGGGTCATTTTTTGGAAGGGCTATTAATAACCTTGGAGATTAAGTGCAGTCATCAATTACATATAAATTACAAAGGTAATTGAGGGAAGTTGTTGGGAACTTTTGGAGTGTAACTGGCATCTGTCTAGAAATAGAACCGAAGAAATTGTTGGAGCAGCCCAGGCGCCCACTGCACCTTGGCAGTTACCAAATAACATGCTCACTACTGATTAGACACTGTTTGCCCTTCAGTTGCCTGTCTTTTCGGGAGCTCAAGTATGTCCTCAAAGCGGCACGATTTTATTGGTTGTAGAGCCCTGAAAAGCCCTCTTTCTTTCCCTTCCTCCCGCCCCGCCAGAAAAAAAAAATGAAGTGAACTAGCAGCCGCCGAAGCTTGGGGGCTCTGCAGGTCAAACCTGGGGCCTTTGTGCCCTGCACAGTTTGGGCCTGGGCACAGTGGAGATGATTGGCGTGAAGGTTACAGTTGTCATTCCCACATTTTGAAGGGGTAGATGCAGCTCTGCACTTAATGGGAATGTGACAAGGTTTCATCTTATGCTCATGCAAACAATATGTGCCTTTGATACTGACTGCAGGCATTCAGCGAGTGGGGTTGTGAAATTGCCCTCCCCAGTTTCCCCAACTTTGCTCTGTGCAGTCTTTCGCTGTGGCAGGGCATCTTCCCCAGCCAGCATCTCAGGAAAAAGGAAGCTTGAAGGGTGCTCAGAGACTCTTCAAATCAAAGGGAACAAAGGGTGTTCCCTTTGATTGTCATCATCCCCAGAAATCACCTGAGGGATATTTGCATATATGTCTATCTGGACATTCCCCCATGCCAAAGATAGGGGAGTTATTAGTGACCAGCAGCAGGAAATGGAAGCTAATGTGCTCACACCCAAAACATTTTATTCTTTTTGTCTTGTCCTTCATCTCCCTCCCAGGGCTGCTGCTTTTATTTCCCCTTTTGAATGACCTACTGGACTGCATTCTCCTGAGGAACAAAGGAAGTGCCTTTTTAGCTGGAATCCTTGGAAGACCACCAAGGACTTTAGCTCATGCAGTGCAATTTCGCACCACTTTCAACAATAACAAAAATGCATGACTGAATGGCTCAAAAATGTGGAGTGTTAGAGGCATTCATTTGAGTCTAGGACACTGTCACAACACAGACGGACCCAAGTAAATACCTTTAGACGGCCAGTATAGAAACAGGCATAATCTTTACCATTGCCCCGGCCTCTCCAGATGCATACATTAGCCTTGTCTTCTCTGGGCTACACTCAGATAATTTTGGTCATTTTTTAAGGGGGATAGTCAATATAGTGACTTGTATTCAGCCTAGGTCCGAATGGATTAATTGCCAGGCACTTTCCCTGGGATGGGGGATGTGCTTTTTTCAGTGCAAAACACCCAGGATCATTTTCCAGGTGAAGTATCACAAAGTCTGGGTTTCTAGCTCATTGAACCCCAGGCTCAGCCCAAGTTTAATGTTTTATTCCAGATGGCCTTGCACTTGCCTTCTAGAGGTTTGAACAGGCTTTAAGAATACTCCATGTTCTGGAGGAGTCTCAGTCTTTATGATCATAGTTAGGATAATCTGATGTGCTCTCAAGGGTGTCAGGGAGTACATCATGCTGACAGGGCTTCCAACTGAGGTCCTGCATTGCCTGTCTGCTTGACATGCACAAAGGATTCCAGGACTTCTATAAGCTGTTATGAGTACGTGGAAAAAAAGTGCATGTGTATGTGTGTTGGAGAGGTAGCAATACTTTCTAATGGTGAGTTGATTATATATGACACACAGCATGTGTCTTTACGATTTGTAGTCCCCCTTCCCCACCTTAAGTAATGTATTGGATTTTGCAATGAATTTGTGATCTCCTGTTTTGTTGGAATCATCAGTTTGGCTCTGTGTTTCACTTGGGGAGGGTCAAATTGAACCATAGGGCCTATCACTGTAGAAATTGTCCCAAGTAGTTTACAGGAGGTATCTTCTGGACATGTTCAAAAAAAATTTAGTAAAAGTTCTGGCTTCTGCAGCTCAGTCTCTGGTTAGAACATATAAATATAAAATGTCTGATTCAGCATAATTACTGTTTTCCTTTTTTATTTGATTCACGTGGGGTCGCATGCAATTTCAGGATTAACTGGAGACTAGACTGAGGAATGAAAAAGGAAGTTTTTTTGTTATCTATACAAGGGAAACAACATTGGTGTTAATCTGAGGCAGTTGGAAGTGAGTCTCTCTGGCTCCCCAATGACCTTAACTGTTTTAGCACTGAGGTTTTTTCTCATTTATGTTTTAAAAAATGTATTTTGGCCTCATGATAAGGGTTCGTAGCTATCGAATGCTTTCTCTGGGCCTGGCCCTATACCAAGGAACTTACATGATTCTCTCATTTAAAACCCACAACAACCATATGACATCAGAATTATCTCCATTTTACAGACAAGAAAACAGATTCAAAGAGATTATGAAATATGTCCACAATCTTATAGCTAGTGAATGACAGAGGTGGGATTTGAACCCAGGTCTTATTTGTTCTAGAGTATAGTTCATGCTATGTTGTACAGATAGTAAGACAAAAAAGTACCTTCTTTATTCCCATAGAGGTTGTTGAGATATAAACTGTGGAAGGACCTTCAGCTAACTAGTAAGGGACCATCATCAAAACAGCACAATTTTCGCATTATAGTGGAGAGGATCCAGTCACATCTGATCAAACCCAGACATAGACAATCTAGTGTTAATGGTAGAAGGAATATAAATTGTATTTCCTGGACAATACAATTGAGGAGCCAATGAGGGTTTCTGAGGGAGGGGAATGTCGTCAGTCAAGCTGTTTTAGGAAGATAACTAGTGGCTCTTTGGGTTAAGGGTTGGCAAGGCAAGAGATAAAGACAGGGAGGTCTGTCAGCACACTCCCCTTTTAAATAGTTCTTAATTGGTCTACCTGCCTCTTGTCTGTCTCCGCCTCCTAACTCCCTGTTCTATCCTGAACATCGACAGCTTAATTTCCTTACATCACTGCTTCGATTTAGAGTCATTCCTGTGCTTTGAGCTTCAGTGGCTCCAAGCATCTCAAATTATACTTCTTTCATTGAGTCACTTCTGAACTTGCCAGGGTTATGTGCCTGCTTCTTCCTAATTCCCTGTTGGAACCAGATCCATGGTCTTTGTACATAACTGCCTTGTATTATAGTTAACTGTTTGCGCAGGCACGTGTTTGTCTTCTCTCCTCAACTGGAAGCAACTTGAGGGCAAAGATGGCAACTCCTGGTCTTGTTTGTAGGTAGCAGTACCAAGTGTGGTAGGTCAGTGCAATATTTGTTAAACAAGTGGGAGAATGACATAGATAATTCTATTGTGTTTTCTGTCAGGACACTAGTGCTGTAATGAGATTATACTGCCTTGATAGGCAGTATACTGCCTGTCTCTTGATCTCCTAGGAATCTTTTGCATCTAAACGCTTTTTTTTTTTTTTTTTTTTTTTTTTTTTTTTTTAAGACTGGGTCTCACTGTCGCCCAGACTGGAGTGCAGTGGGGTGATCTTGCCTCATCTCAACCTCTGCCTCCCAGGCTCAAACAATTCTCCTGCCTCAGCCTCCAGAGTAGTTGGGATTATAGGCATGAGCCACTACCACCTGGCTATTTTTTTTTTTTTTTTGAGACTGAGTCTCTGTCGCCCAGGCTGGATTGCAGTCACATGA